ATAAACTGAATAAAGATATAAAAATGAAACTCATGGAAGACATGATGGAGAAGTAGGAAACGGCTTTGTACGATCATTGCAGTTTCTAACAAAACTAAACGTGAATCAACATGAATCATAAATTATATATATGCATAGATACACAACATCAATGAGATATTCAATCAAAAATTAAATTTTTAATATATAAACCTTACTGAAAAAAAAAGAAATATAGAATTTCTATGAAAATTAAGAAAAACACCAAGATCTTAACAAAGAAACCATTCTCTAAATTAAACGTGTTTGCATGTCAAAATTGGATAATTTGATAATCGTCATTGTTATTATTTTATTTAGTAAGATTTAATTTTTTATAAACAAAAAATTGGAGAAAACTACATGTTGTATTTTAAATTCTCTTATATAAAAAAAGTAAATTTTATATATCTATTATAGTTTTGATAATTTAAAAAGTAATAACTAAAAAAAAGAATTAAATCAAACTACTAATACAGACTCGCGCGTAGCACGAATTAAAAATCTAGTACTATATAAAAGTTGATGGCATTGTACATTGAGGACGTCCACATAGGATTAAAAAACTTAATATAATTAGTCCACATCAGATTTTTTCATTAAACAAAAAATGTTAAGTATGATTAAAATATCAAAAATTTAATTTCTAATTTTTTAAAAACATTAATTTCGTTTTATAAATGAAAAATCAAAATAAAAAAATTAAATAATAAATAGAAAAGAAAATAATGTTAAAAACTAAAATATAGTATATCTCAACATTAAAATGGAAATTTAATGTTAAAAGAGTTAAACTAACAAAAAAAACTAATAACATAAAAGTATAATGCATTGAGAACGTCTACATTGGACAAAGAAACTCAATATAATTAATACACATCAGCGTTTTTATTAAATAAAAAAATGTTAAGTGTGATTAAAACACTAAATATATGTTTTTAAAATATTAATTTCGTTTGTAGATAAAAATCAAAATAAAAAACTAAGTAAGAAATAAAAATAAAATAATGTTAAAAAACCAAAATATAGTATTTCTCAAAATTAAATAGAAATTTAATTTCAAAGAGTTAAACTAACAAAAACCCAGTAAGGTAAAAGCTAAAACTTATAATATAGATTATAAAAATTTACAAAAACATTAATTTCGTTTTATAGATGAAAAAATTCAAAATAAAAAAAAACTTCAGTAACAAAAAAAAATGTCAAAAAAAACCAAAATATAATATTCTTCAAAATTAAATGGAAATTTAATTTCAAAAGAGTTAAACTAAAAAAACCAATAAGGTAAAAGCTAAAACTTATAATATAGATTATAAAAATTTATAATTCTAAATTTATTGACAAGAAAATAAAAAAATTATTTACGTTTTATAGATGAGAAAGTAAAAATAAAACCCATGTTGCTAAAAATAAAAATAAAAATAAAAAACTTAAGTAGCAAATAAGAAATAGAATAATGTAACAAAAAAACCAATATATAGTATTCATCATAATTAAATGGAAAATATAATTTCAAAAGAGTTAAACTAAAAAAAACTAATATCATAAAAGCAAATTAACTTGAGGTATAAAACAAAGAAATTACCTTTAAAATTAATATAATAATTAATATACAAACAAATTTAAGAAAGAAAAAGCATTAATATAAAATAAATTAACTTAATGTCTTTGCCACATACTTTGAAAATCAACAACAAAATAGCTTAATAAAAAAATAAGTCCTAAGTATATCAAACGCACAAAAATTTATATAAATTAGAATAAAATATAAAATTACTATCAAAAGATGAAAAATATAAAAAAATTAAAACAAAATTAATTTCACCAACTTCTGATTTCTATCAACAATGAATAACTATCTAAAGTTGCAATAGGTTTACAAGAGTTTCTAAATCAAACATATTTTTAAATAAACAATGATTAATATACTGAGTGTTTCTTATTTAAAAACTAACAAAGAAAAGTACTACATAAATAATTTTACGTTAGGATTTTAAGAAGTAGTAAAATCTGATTTATATACATAGGCACTACTTATATCTGAACCAACATTAATAACACATGAGTAACACATTCTAAAACTCTGTTTAAATAATAAAGTATGACAAAGTTATGAATCAAACTCAAATTGGTATATGTAAATAAAATATTCAAATCAAAACATGCAGATTGCACACAAAATATAGAAATAGTAAAAAATAATACAAAGACTCTACACCACCAATCCTATAAGTTTGAAAACTACTATTATTAAATACTAGACTACAAAAAAGAAAAAAAAAATCTCACTGGAAACTGAATAAAGATATAAGGTAAAACTTGTTGAAGACTTTGGTAGAGAAGGAAAAAACGGTTTTGTGTGATCATTACAACTTCCTAACAAAACTAAATGCAAATCAACACAAATCATGGATTATATATACATAGGTACTACATCAATAAAACATTCAATTAAAAAAAAACTAAATATTTGAATTCATAAACCTTAAAGAATTTTGTTTTCTAGAAATTCTATGGAAAACAAAACAAAATACCAAGATCTTAGCAAGAATACTCTTCTCTAAATCAAACATATATGTACATCAAATTTGGATAATCTGATAGGTGTCATTGTTATTATTTTAACTTAATAAGATTAAGAATTTTATAAATAAAAATAGGAGAAAAGTATATATTATATTTTTAATTTTTTTATATAAATGAAAATTTCTGTAAATCTATTATAGTTTTGATAATTTAAAATATAGTAGATAAAAAAGAGAGAATCAAGTCAAACTATTAATATAGACTCGCGCATACCGCGAGTTATAAACCTAGTTATATATAAAAAAGACCCTACGTGACATTTTTTAAAGTTTGTAATTGTAGAAATTCATACTTAGTAAACAGTTTTCGAGTTACATACAGCTTTTGAGAAGAAAGAGTGTTCTTGGATAGTTAGAAACAGAGACACCCGTTAACATGAAATGGATTCAGTATCATTACCAAAGAAAGATATGTGTTTTTTTTTCCGGTTAGCATCCATATATTAAATCAATTTTGGATACTAGATTCGGGATCTATCGATTTTGTTTCTAGTAACCGAGTGTGACTTACATGAGAAAATATAATACCTGGTGTTCTTATCTTTTTTGCAAAGATATTGGCATGGATATTTTTGCTACGAGCAATGAAATGTACAATACATTCTATAAAAGAATCCTTAAAAGAATATAAACAGTCTAACTCCGATCGAAACGATGGTTAGTCTACAGATCCTCGAGCATCTTAATAAAATTTGAGTCATTTGTCTTGATGCAAATCCTTTGCAACCCCATATCTCTCAAGCATATTCGTCCAGATTAATCCGTCCATCTCCGCATGTAGCCCTGACAGACTCTTTCTGCAACCTTACTGTCCGGTGGTGATGTGTCCTCTTGTGTCTAACAAATACCACCCAAGTCCACTAACTGAATCATGATCAACCCAAAAGGCATCAATCTGACAAGTTGGAGTTTGGGGGATAAAAAAAAACCCCTTAGGCTCATCGTATGCATCTTGCCTTTCTTCTCTTTCCTCATCCAACCCCTTTTTGTTTGCTGTCCGCCAACTCTCTACTTCAATAGTGGCATGATGAAAGGTCTTCATAGGTGATACAATTTTTTCATACTTTATCATTTTTTACCTTCCAAATAAACCAAATGATTCACGGGAATATATCTCTTTGAGGAGTGGGGAGCTTTCTTTCCTTGATCTTCCAAAATAGGAAATATATGTTTCTATATAGAGATGAACTCGGAAAGCAACCCGGAAAAGAGAAAGATATATGTTTAAAGTTAGACTTTATATAGAACTTTTACAAAATGACCCAACTATATCATCTTCATTCTTTTAAAATCCATGTATGGGTACAAGTAAAAAAGACAACCATAATCTACTCTTGATAATATAATCTTCTAGTCTAAATAAATAAGTAATCTCTATGTGTCACTCACCATGCATCTAAGGTATTCAAGTCAACTATAAAGTATAAACTTTATAATGTTCAAAAAAAAAAGTATAAACTCTATATGCGTCAATCAGATAAAAACAATTTTCTTCTACACCCTAGATCCTTGATAACCGATTTCCCCCTCTCCATGCAACATCTAAGGTATTCCAGTCATGTGTGCCCCTTCTTAAATTTTTGTTTCTTCTTTGTCAAAAGCAGATTTTGTGTACCCTTAAAAGACAGATAAGAAACCATATACCCCCTAAGACTGAAATTGATTTAATCAGGACCAAAGATGTGTTGAAACTCGAACTATCCCAACGATCTGTTCCTCCTTAATCTACTTAGTTTCACCAGGGAAGAAGTCGCAGCAATTCCTTTTTTCTCAAGCACGTAAGTCCTGTTTTTTCAAGTTGCAAATGAAGCCCGAAGATGTTAAAGCTCGAAGTGACCGGAGTGGGGGACAGTTTCTGGCTAATCAAAGTCTCACGTGCTTCGTTTTAAATTCAAGGTACCGTTGTAGTTATTAGTTAACCAAGCTAGATAGATGAAGTTGTAGTTGTTAGTTAAAGATTTTCTTCAGATCAAATTTCAGAAAAGGCCCATTGGGCTTCTCCTTCATTACACAGAGACGGTAATACTAATAATCTTCGTTTGGTTTCACCTAAGAACAGAGCTTCTATCAGACAATCAACAGGCATATCTCTCTTGTCTGAAAAAGAACAATGTTGAATAACTTTTTTTTGAAGATGAAACAGTAACATTGAGATGTATCCTGGAAAAACAAATCCCCTGGGTGACTGTTCATTTGCGAGCAACGATATGATCAATTAAGTCTAAGTTATGATATGCAGGTCCAGATAGGGAACCATTGTATCCAAGTCTTGTTTTGAGATGGTGAAAGAGAGTATGTTAACAGGGTACATCAAACTAAAACAAGGCATTGGCTTTAATCGATTCCAAGTTCCACACGTCTCAACAAACTAACAAGAAGAAGCCAGCTGAGGTAGTCTCAGGTATCCAAAGTAAGATCTACGGTTTCGCGTTCAACCCGGAGAATCACCACCGAATACGTGTTGAGGAAGTTCACGCTGTTCTCTCTGAAGAATCTCCAAAAACTGAGGTCATCTTCTTCTCTTCCCGTATGCACTCCATACTTATAGGCGTACGTTACATCGCCTCCAAAACTGGTGTACACAATCGAGTTCTTGCTCAGACCACAACCATCGGGAAGCTCCTTCCCCGAGCAGCTAACATTTCCATAGTGTCCAATAAAGAACAAACGGTCTCTTAAATCGGTGACCACGACCCATTCACCGGCCTTCTCATCTAACACACTCACTCTAAGAGCCAAGCGAGAAAAATCTAGGCCCTCAGCTTCAGGAAAAGGGTTGAACTTCTCAACCAGAAACAGTTCATCATCACCAATTGCAAACAGATACTTACTTGACATCAGAGGCTGCTGCAAGGGCATCAGGGGAGTCGGCATAAGGGGAGTCGCTTCCCGCGAATAAGGATCGATAACGAAGATGTCTCCGTTAATAAAGGTTGCATAAAACTTGCCTCTAAAAGCGACTAAACCCTTGCATTGAGCTTCTGAGGCTCTCTGAAGGCGCACCCACCTCATTTGAGCACTTCGTAACACAAACAAATCAAGAGAGTAGGCCATTAGCACGATGAATTCTCCTCCTCTTAGCGGAAGAAAAGCCACGCCTCTGTAACTTGATGAAAATGAATCAGGATCGTAACCGACCATTCTGTACTGATAGCCCAGAGGGAGAATCTGACAGTCGAGAATGTTCATGAAGGTCGGGTCACATTCTCCCATCTTCACTTTCACTGAGCACTGAATAGAAGAAGATGGAAGCTTCATATGATCCTCTGACTTGTCTTGGCCTACTCCTCCCATAAAAAACTCAGAAGGCAACGCATTATCAGGAGACCGGACTCTAAAGACGAACATTGGGAACTTCTCGACGGTGCACGAGCCTCTGCTTTTGCGAGGAAACTTGGCGGCGATTGATGGAAGCGAGTAACTTGTGCGTAGAAGACAAGAAGGAAAGGGAAAGATTGATCGCCATGGGCAACAAACAGAACGAGCATGTATAACATCAAAAGAGTCCTTCAACTTGTCTTTGATAATTTGCAGTAACTCTTCCGGCAGCTGTAACAATTCCATTGCAGGTTTTGCCATTTTTGCTGATGAAGACGGAGACAACTGCAGTTTTGACAGATTACAGAGTCTAGTGTTAAACAAAATTACCACACATACACCAAACTACAATAGCCAGAGTCTGCCAAAATCAAGCTAGTTGTACGCTTAGGCAACTCTTAGCCTTGTAATATTTTTCCTTGCAATTTATAAAGAAAGCCCTTTTTCAAGAGAAAAGTGAGTTCGTACAGAATCTGGAAGAAGAGAGCAATCGAGCATCGTGGATGATGTCTTCTTCTCCGTTGGAAAGTTTGGTGATTGCTTCGATTTCACAATCTAATAGCAAGATTACGATTCAAACTGACATTGCAAGCAGAGAAATCATTCCGACAAAAAGATTAGATTTTTCAGTTTTGTATTAAAGAAAGGAGAAATGGTCAGTACCTGTCGTAATTTAAAAGACTGTAACGAAGAAACCAAGGATGGAGACTCCACTACACGTCCATTACAGCGAGAGATTTGAGTGTAGAGAAAACGGTTTATCAGTGAATTTCGATTTGGGGGAGATCGAGAATGAAACTACGACGACGTCTCTTTTAGGGAAAAAGAGAAACGACTTCCCTTGGCCTTGAGTAACCTTCAAATATATATATTTTCTTTTATACTAGATTATATAATCAGCACGTATGCACAGAATAATTTATATTTTTTTATATATGAAATAAAAATAATAATTAATTTTTCTACTGTTAAAAATATAAATCGAAATAAAACATGTGAAGTTGAGTATAGTTTTATATATTTTCAATTTTTTGTAAACAAAATATATTTATAAAAATTAAAGTTTAAGATATATTGATTTTAATTTGGTGTAAAACATTGATATTTTTTTGCTTATAAAACATAAAAAAAAATTCATAACTTCAAATTTTATTTATTTTGAAAATGCAAATAAATTTTTATTGGTGAAAAAATACTTAATTAAAACTATCGAAAATGAATGCTATTATTTGATACCATCATCTAATCAACTAATTTCCAAAAATTGTTATTTTAGAATAATAAAAAATGAATATTGACTTTAAGAAAAATTTGTGAGAATAGGAAAAATATAATAATTAGGAATGTTTGTTAATATATTTGGTAACATAAATAAGATTATTTAGGGATGAATATTGATTAGAAAATAGAGTGTTTGGTAATTAATATAGTATATTAACTTTAAAAAAATTTAAACATAAAAAAAAACTAAAGAAAATTGTAGTATTGACACATCAGTAAAAATGGCATTCAATGTATCTACTTTAATATATAGTAGATTAGTAACAGGTCTAATTCATACACAAAACTAGCTCAAAAGTGGAGGGTTGTCACACACTATATGTAGTGTCCACAAATCTCTCAAATTTTTGGTAAACTTCTTTTATCATCATTTTATGGTAAACTTCTTTTTAAATGAAACTAGGTGGTTGGTCCAAACATATGTGCAAATATGATTATTTAAATTTTAGATAGATATAGTTAGTTATAATAAGTGTTTGATTAGTTTTTTCATATATTCTGCAAACGTTATGTTTGTATACAGATGTAGTTTTAGTAGTTAACAATAATCAAACAAACGTTCCCTACCCATTTCTATTTTTTTAAACTGATTTCTTTTTTTTTAAATATATTTTCTAACGTTTACAGTGACATATAATTGCAAATGTAAAAGTAATATTAAACAATAACTAAATTTGTATAATATTTTTTTGAATATTTTCTATACTATGTTTTATTTTCCTCTTACACAATATAATTTTGCTAATACATATATATTTTAAATATACATATATATTTTAAATATATATTTTTTTCTTAACCTATTATAAATTAAACCAAAATAGGTTTTACTATATTTACTTATCCTAAGAGCGGGAAGATGGTTGGACCGCACATAGATAGAGATTTTTTAGAAAAAAATATGTTATCTGATAATTAAAATTAAAATTAGAATGTAATCAAGGTTAACAAAATGCATGCACGATAAGTTTGCATGCGACTTCGACTTTTGTGTAATTAATATTCATATTCGCATACATATTTATGAAAATGTCAAAGTATGGCTTATATATGTTAAAAGAAAATAACAAAGTGTATGTTTTGTAATATATATTTTTATAATGTATGATTGAATTTTAAAAAGAAATAAAGATGTATGTTTGTGCATGCATGTATTGGTTAGAAATAAAATTGAAATATTTAGGTTTTGGTTAGTTTTCACAAACGTTATGTTTGTACAAGATGCAGTTTTTGGCGTTTAACAACAGTCACGAAAACCATTTCTATTATTTTGTATTTAATCAATTTTCTTACTTTTTTAGCATTTTCCATGATAAACAGTTTCAAGTTAAAAGTTAAATAAAATATTAACAAAAAATACAAAGTAATAATTTCAAATTTTTTAGAAGTTCTTTGTATTTTTGGTTTTTTTTTGTTATTTTGTTTGCCCAAAAAAAAACAAAAAGTACAAAAACTTCTAAAAAAATTGAAATTATTACTTTGCGCTATGAAAATAAATATAGTACTTTGGATAATCTAATATTAATTTTCCATTTTCCAATAAAAATTATAATAAATATTTGTTATAAAGTGTGTGAAATAATATTTTATAAAAAATTTCAGCAGCTCTTCGCTCATTTTTTTATTCATTATTGAGAATTGGATTGATAAAGACAATAATTTTTTTATGGTTAGTCTGCACACATGTGTTCACTATAAAATTTTACTGGCACATGAGTTCATTATAAAATTTACTTCTTAAAAGTTTTACATAACTTCGTAAAATAAAACATGAGAGTTTTATGGATAACCAAAACTATAGAGATTTATTTTTATTTTTTACTTTTACTTCGTATTCATATTTTTTGCAATCTATTATTAATATAAGTAAAAAAAATTAAAATCGTAGTAATTATCATTTTATATTAATTTAGATTTGTTAATTTTAGATTTATAATCCAGTGTATATGTAATTATCTCATAACTTATTTAATTTTAATTCAGCCAATTAAAATATTTTGTTTATTTTAGAAAATATGTCATGTCACATTTTCAGGTCTTCTCAAAAAATAATACAGATATATTTAATAATTAATTTTAGATTTATAAAAAAAAACTATACTAATTATAAAGAGAGGTGTTTCACGAGTTTCTCATAGACTCTCATTGTCTCTCTCTTAATCTCTTTTTTATTTTTTAACAATAAAAGATTCATTGAGAGACTCCCAATCCAGATGGTCCAAGAGCATGCTATTGAAATACATTGAGCACATCTCATTCTCACAAAATCTATTTCATTATATTTGTTAGTAAATGTTTGTCGTTGTGAGTACCATGCAAGTTTTTTTTAATTTTGTATTAAAAGGTTGGTGAAATTATAATGTTTACAGAGAACGAGATTTGACCTTGTTAGGGGAATTAAGCTGTCATTGTTTCGTGAAAGCACGCGGGGATGATAAGAAAGTAGGTCATGGAGAGTATAACTCATACTATGATAGTGGTGGCGGTTTGTGGTTTGATGGAGTAGGAAAGAAAGTAGTGAACCACTAATCGAAAAATATTTCATGAAAGAAAATAGTGCATGATTTTCTGTTTGATTGGCCACAAAATAAACATGAAGAAATAAATATATTTTTGTGCAGAAACAATGACATAATTAGCTCTTAAAAATAAAAATAAAAAATCTTTTAAAATAATGTGAAATGGGAGACAAGATGAAAGAGAATCTAGTATAGAAGGGGAAAAAATGTTTATTTTGTATTTGTTTGATGAAAGAGAATTTATGAGGAAAACAAAGAAAGAGAAAAAGGTGACACTTGACGTTATTATAATACTAGGAGAAGGTTCATGATTTGCATGGATTTGTGATATATTAACTATTTTTATTTTAAATCTATTCATTATATTTGTTAGTACAAGTTTATCGGTAAATATTAGTTTATAAGCTGTGAAAACCATTTAAATTTTGTAATAAAAGGTTGGTGAAATAATAATATTAGGTTTGACTTTGTTAGAGAAGTGAACCTTCCATCCGTGATGATCGAGAAGAAGGTCCTCAAGAGTACAATCCATATTGTATAGTGGTGGCAGTTTGAAGTTCAATGCAATAGAGAACCATTAATGAAAAAAAAATTCTTGAAAGCAAACAATGCATGATTTTCTGTTTGATTGGCCACAAAGAAATGAGTCTATTTTTCGGGCAGAAATATTGAAAAATCTAAAATAATGTGAAATATGAGATATAATGAAAGAGAATCTAGTGGAGAAGGGAATAAACCAAAACATTATTTTTGTATTTGTTGGATGAAAGTGAACACAGAAGAGATAAGAAAACAAAAAAGAAGAAAAATGTGACAGTTGGCGTTACTATACTATATAAGATTTGTATTTTATTGGGTAGTTTAATTTTCGTTAATCTTTGTTGGATGAAAGAGAACTATTTGGAAAAGGGAAACAAAAATCGAAGCTTTTGTTTTTGTGTTAGGTCTATAAAATAGAATCTAGTAGAAATAGAAAGAAAAATGAGAAAAAGGTGACATATGTCAATTTCTAAGATGACACGTGACAGCATATCATAATTGTTTATGAAAAAAAATCTTATATTTTTTAATATTTTGTATTAAAAGGCTGGTGAAATAATAATATCTATCAAGAATGAGGTTTGATCTTGTGAGGAAAATAAAATTGCTACTGTTCCGAGGAAGCACACTGAGATGATCGGAAAAAGATTCTAAAGAGTATAATCAAAATTGTGACAGTGGTGGGGATTTGAGGTTTGATGGTGTAGAAAAGACAGGAGTGAGCCATTAATCAAAAAAAAATTATGAAAGCAAATAATGCATGATTTGCTATTTGATTGACCATAAAGAAAATATAAAGAAGTGAATTTATTTTTTTTGCAATAAAATAATATCACAGCCAGCTCTTAAAAGTTAAAAAACAATATTCTTAAATAATATAAAGTAAAAAACATAAGGAAAGAGAATCATGTTGAGAAAAAAAAAAAGAGAAAAAGTGACATGGTCTTAATATATTATATAAGATTTGTTGGCGTGATTTGATTTTTGTTTCTAATTGTTGGATGAAAAAAATTGTTTGTAGAAGAGAAACAAAATTAAAGTTTTATTTTTGTGTTTGTTTAATGAAAGAGAATTTAATAGATATAGTAAAAAGGGAAAAAAGTGACACATGTCAGTTCTTAAGATGACACGTGATAGAATATCAGAGTTGTTTAAGAAAAAAACCTTATAATATTTTATAAGACAGAATGAGGTTTGATCCTAATAGGAAAATGA